TGTTTATATTAAAAAAAGAAACTCCAATATATCTATCAAAGATCAACCAATCAAAGCTTTCTTGTTAAATTCTTAACAAGACAGGCATACCTATGACCTACATATACGATAACTGACTCCTGGATTTTTGCAGGCTTATAGGTAGTGGGTTCCAATGTTAAGTGAAAAGAGAGAACCACTGGTATGGAAAATGAAGTTCACAAACATGAAGAATGACTGATGTGGGCGGCTACGTTTTGATTTTTCAGTCAATAAGAGACATTGATATTTAATAATACATTTTAAAATTGCCGAAATGTGCACCCTAAGACTCAGGAATCTGATTCATTAGTCTTCAGTGGCCACAGAGTGGAGGCCTCTGGTTCCCACACCCGCAGTTCAACAAAAGGTTGAAACCGTTTGAAACCTAATACTGAAGTTACTTCAGCTTTCCTCCAGGTACACTGGGTCCAAAGGAAATTTTAGACAGTAAAAGTGCAATCCCATAATGTGGTATTTTGCACACCACTAAAGTAAGTATAAAGACAACAAAACTCCATCTTAATATTTTAGCAAAATGTTTTACTTGGATGGCTTCCAAGGATAACTGATAACAAAGACAGTACAATAGTACTTATAGCTCTTATGACTAAAAACTGTGGTTTTGATAGAAAATAGTCCTGGTGTTACATTGTGATAGAAATAACATGTAATTTTGTAATACAAGGTGCCATTCTCCCATGTTTTGTATGTATAAGAGCCTTTACACTATTTTAATTCTTTGAAGTTACTAACGTCCACAATTGGAAAAATGTGTTCATTGATGCTCTCTTGGGTAAAGAGTCCACATTATTAAAAGGAACTGATTGAAAAACGTCAGACATCACTGGATAAACTTACAAGAGAGATTTGAGAAACAGCCGAATGAGCAAGGATAAAGAGTCTTCTTCTTTAATGGTGGCTAAATCATCATTTACATCACCACACCAGCATATCAAGATGGGAAAAACAATTCTCAGGAAAGTTAATTCCACATAAAAGTATNGGGGGGGGGGTACCTAACTGTCCACTGGGCGTTCTGTGTGTAGCGCTTCAAAAGCTTATCACTAACCGATTCATTCACACCAATGCCTCGAAAATATCAAGTTTATAATTTCTCACATTAGAGAAGAGCGTGCTCAGATTCACAGCTTCACTTCCTTTTGTAGCTACACAAGGGGCAGAAATCTAATGATCATGGCTGGCCCTACACTAAGGTAGGAAACTATGATAGTTAGCTTCAGATCTTGTTTAGCTACAGGAAGAGATAAAGATACATAAACCAATGGACAACCTGTAGAGATGAGAGGATTAAGGATCACAGGCACCCTGCTGTTTACTGGAAGGCACCACCTAAGTGTTTTACAAGGAACACAAATACAACAAACCCACTGCTAATGGTATTTCTCCACGCCCCGCCCCTCCCCAACCTGCACTCCTTACTCAGAGAAAGACAAGTTACTCAGAAAGACACGACCAACCACTTGGCCAAGCAAGCCGGTCATCCTGGGCCTGCCCTGCCCTTCCCCAGCGACCACCATCACCCTGAATCACACTGTCCACGCTCTCCTACCGTCCCCTCCATCTACAGTCCCAGCCACTGCCTCGTTTAAGGCCTGGAGCTTTCACTGGGATTGTTGCCACAGAGTCCTGAGCGGTCTTCCAACACCAGCTTCCCTCTCCTTCCCGCCCTCATCCCCGGCGCCTCTGCAGCCCCAGAAACGCAGCATCACACTGGTGCCAGGGCAGTCTTTGTTAAACACAAATCTGACCATGGCACACCCCACTTACGCCTCTCTGATAGCTTTCCATTCCTACAGAGCAATTCACATTCTTTACCTTCAGAAACCCCTTTCCAGCACAGGGCTCCATGTCCCCTCCTGCCTGCAGCTCCTGGTCATGCAAACCCCTTCACATCCCCGGGCACTTACTTTTGCCATCTCCCCTTTGTCCCATGCGACTAATGCCAGCTAAGTCATCTCAACTTCCTCTTTTGTGAAACAGAGATCATCGTACTTATTTCCAGACCTGTATTACGAGCATTAAATAATGCATAAAAGGGGTGTGGCAATGCACCTGCCATTCCAATAGATCTGAGTTCCACTTCCCTTTATCCGCCCATGCCTAACGATCCCTGGCACATGGGGGGAACTCAAAAGCTTCTCACATTCATGCGTGTATCATGCATGCATCATGCACAAATCAAAGGTAAAGGCAGCAGTTAGGAACTGGTATCCAAAGAAATGATGTCAACTAGAATACACATTCCTTCCAAATAATCAATTGCTTATAGGTGTCCGTATTATATAAACTACTAAGCTGAACGGATAGGTCCAACAACCACTTAAAGCAAAGGTCTTAGCAGCATGAATTTAAAAAAAAATCAGCTGATGTGTTTGTGAAATTTTAGAACAGCATACAGGTTACATGAATAAAATGTGTTTCAGACATGGATCTGTGATGTAAAAATATTGTTATATTTCTACCACTTTAATCTTAAAGTTATCACTAAAAGAAGGAAGCACCAACTGCCCACCCCTAGCTCGCCTGCCCTGTGTAGGTCTCCCGGGGGCACGAGATGCCAGGTAAGGGAATTAGGTTCGCTGAGTGCCGATGGCCTCCCCAGTGGCTTCCACAGCAGCCAAGCAGTTTTGGAAATAGTTCTTTCTCAGCATCCAAAATAGAGACAAGAGTTAAAGGAGTTAGGAGCTGAGAGACTAAGCCGAGGCAGCACAGGCCATGGCAGGTAACACGGAGCCCTGACTAAGATCCCCAGAGGGCGTCTTCCCCACGGAGGTCTGCCTTACAGGGAGCGGCATGAAAAGGTGCCGTCTGCATGTCCGCATGTCCACGGCTCCTCGAGGGAACCTCACCTCAGGTTCACTCCTTTACATCGATCCAGCATGTGTGCACAGCACCGTCGTAAGCTATCACGGCACAGCGACTTCACATCAACCAGAATTTTCTAATCAAACCTCGTTCAGGGAGGGAACCCGGACGTTCCTGAGGTTTCTAGAGAAAAGCTATGTAGCATGATTTTGTCCGAATGACATTCCTGCTGCCCTGAATTTATTAACTCTTTATAAACAACCTTATAAATGAAACTAAGTTCAAACTACCCAAAATCTAATATTTTAAAGTTTCATTACCTTAAATAAAATTAAAGCTATAAAAGCCTTAAACTGAATTAAAATGTTTAAATGGATCACTTGTCTACAAAATACGGCCAACTCTTGATTTTTCCAAACCAGGAGTACAAAATGTACTTCTAAGTACTTAAAATAAATTAGAATATCTATGAAAAACATTGGCTTTAGGGCTAGCAGAGTGGCTC